GCTGTAGAGGGCAGTGTCACTGGCCCTCATATGTGGGATCTGAACCGGGGCCCTCTGGCGTCCCAAGCCAGCTCTTAACCAACGCGCCACTTGGCAGGTCCCCCACTTCTTACTCTTTAAAAAGAACATTTCTCTTACATTTGCACCCCATTCCATTAGTTGCTAAAACCTCTAAGCATGACTGAAGCTTTCTCTGCTATCCAGGACTGCACAGCTCAGGGTCTTCGATCAAATTATGGATTCTCACTTCTCAGCCGGCAGCAGAAGGTACACGAGAATAGGCTGAGTTTGGAGCCCAGAACACGCCTGAGCAGAAGGGGTCTGACGGGGAGACGGGGGTTCTAGCTAACGGGAGCTCCATGCAACTAGAACGCAGTCACCAGGTTTCACCTTGCTCTGAAGGCGAGACAATTTGACAGCATAACAACTATTTTCTCACTTTGCTACTTAGAATGCATTCCCCAAGTCAGAACTATTAGCTCCAGGGCTTACACACCATGTGGCACCTGACGTTAGAATGTGCTAGCCACAGGCCACGCCAACCTCAATGGCACCAGCAGTGATCCTCCTTCCACCTTCCCTCGGCTGTGACCTGAAGCAGCATAGACATCCGTCACTGTGCTCTGATCAGCAGCAAGGCTGAGGAATCCACCTGCAGCCTCTCGGCCACCTGGTGTGTGGCCACTGGTCATACCCCCAGTTCACCTCTTAGGTGTGACGTCCCCCAATTTCTGAGTGATGCCTTCTGCATTAGCGCTCTGGGTCCTGGAGCCGTGGACATGGCGGCTCCTCCCCTCCCCCATGCGGGGCACCTAGGGGGAAGTGGAGCCCATTAACTCTGTCACCTCCTCACCTCGGCGGTGGCTGGCGTGAGCTCCGTCAGCAGGCGCCACATGCTCTGCTTCAGCTTTTTCATGTCCATCTTTTTGGCCGTCTTGGCATAATGGATTTCCATTCTGTTTACCTGCAAGAGGTATGTGACAGAGTAAAACTAAGCAGGAGAAAGAAACATTACCATTACCGCATTATAGAATGAGTCTGGAGTTCAAGTAAAGAAAGTGAGTTCAAACCACGGCATTAAAGCGCTTTCTTCAGACACGCGAACATACAGTCCCTCATTTCAACCTAATGTCTTCTTGGTCAAGTGCAATCTACAATAAGGGTCACCTGGAACTCCAGTGGGAAAGGAGGTAAGTGAACCTAATATATATGACAGCCTGTCACCTGCTCTGAAACAGACAGATGCTTAATACAGACAAGTTAATTGATTTCTGGAGCCAAACAGCTAGCCCCACCCAGTCGGCACAGGGCATGTTCTCTGTCTGCAGCCTGCCTCACATACTTCGTGTGACTGATTTATCATGACCGTCAGAGACATGGCTCATTGCACACAAACTGAACAAGCGTCAGTTCTTTCCCTATAGCCTATTTAACAATCAGGCTCTATGAGAGCAATGGGTTAAAATCGAGGAGAAAAACTCGAGCTCAGACCCATATGACTCTCAGCCAGGAGGAGAGGGACACAGGACCCTGGAGAACACTGCGAGATGACATTCTTGTTCCATCTTTACCTTCTGAGGCTCAACTACCAGGTCTGACTCCTTGTAACTGGTGATGTCTGGTCCTTGGACATCAGGTATGACATTGTTTTCCTGTGTTGCCTTGGGTGAACCGCAAGGAAAAGCTGAGAGCTCAGAGGTCCCAACTGGCCCCACAAATAAGTCATCCGACTCTTCATAATCACTGTCAGCAGCCTGGGCAAGGAAACAGCTGTTCAGGTCTGGCAGAAGTGGTGGGAGGGGCTTCGAGGAACCCCTGAAACAGACTCCACATGACACGGCAAGAACAGAGGATTCGTCACGCCAAGTCAGCCCAGGGTGGGCTTTGAGGAGCCGCTAGTTATCCTCCTAAGGGAGACATCTGTTAACTAAGCATCTAGAGTGAGAGTTAAACAGGACGCAGTCATCACAACAGCCAGTGTCCCCTGGACTTCTAACGAATACAGGGTTTCCTTTCCCGGCAGTAGGGGTCCTCTTGGGAGCTGGTGGGAAAGTCCTTCTTGGCCGAGCCCAGTGGGAACACACCAGTTTTGGGGGCGGGGCCCGGGAACGGGTTTACATTTAGCTCTCCCGGTGAGGCCTGTGCATGCTACAAGTCTGAGAAATTGGGCAGGTGGTCAGTCTGAGTTTTCAGTAAAATATAAAATCCCACCCCCTTCCAGGTGAATAAGCTCTTCTCCCAATTATCGCCCCTCTCCCCACGTGCAGGGCCCCAGAGGCGACCCAGTGTTCTCCCCTCTGTTGCGCCACTTGTATCTCAGGAGTGAAGGACTCGCTGGAGGGACACCAACATTGCCCAGTCTGGCCGGCACCTAATGATGGGAGCAGCGTTTGCGAGTCCACTGTGAGAACCAACACCCGAGCTACAGCCTGGTCTTCCAAGCCCCATCACGTTCACCATTTTCTCATGTCTATGTTTTGTCTCCCCGACCAAAGCATCAGCTCTCAGGGCAGGAGCTGCTCTTTTCCTTTGAAATCCCCAAAAGGGCAATCCTAGTACTTTGCACGGGCTAACAACTCCCCCCATGTGGACGGGGTTACTGAGAGTGTCTGCTCTCCCAGCTTAGAGGGTTAACATAACAGCAAGGCAGGCCATGCCCGCTGTTTCCTCAGCCCCGGGTCCCTGATGCCCAAGGCAGAGGAGCAGGAATGCACACGCCCTTGCCAAGGAGAATTTCCTACAGCCTCCTGCCTCACAGGAAAGGGTGTGGACAGAGCTGTCCCCTTACCTGTAACCCAGGGCAGAAGTTGGAGGTGTCGTTGGGGTTGTTGTAGTCATAGTCCCCAATCTCCTCATAATGTTCGGTCTCCTCCCTCTGGCCTCGGGCTGACCTAAGTAACTGGGTGAAGGCAAGAACAACTGCAGAGAGCAATTTTTAGAAAAGCAGCCGCAAGTAGGTTGGAGAAATCACCATAGATCCTCTGCTCAGTCTCCTAGAATTTGAGAGTTATAAGGGCCCCAAGAAGTCATCCAATGCAAGCAGCTCTCCAGCTCCGTCCAGGGCAAGCCCAGATCACAGGGCTCAGAGCCTCTACCTGCCCCGAGTGAACAGGAGCAGCTGGAGTTCAGTCCGCACACAATTTTATTTGAAAAAGTGTTCCTTCACTAACATCGAAACTGCCTACAGGTGCTTGAAAGTCAACTTGCTGCCTGCATGACTCTGATAGAACACTCCCTCCCTGAGTGGTGTAGCTCACAGGCAGCCTGTCCAACCCATGGCATTAACTGTCCCCACAGCGCGACAGCAGAAACAGCCAGCTCTTCTCCCTGTCATCACTACTTTGGGGTGCCTGCTGACCACAGCCCTTTAGGTATTTGCAGGCCCTCACACCACTGACTAGGTGTGTGTCTTTGGGGTAAATAAATGGGATTAAAGCTGTGTACACTTTATACATTCAATATTTTAATGCAACTATACACTCCAAATGCAGCCCCTTTCAAAACTCAATGTTTTTATAATACAAATCCAAATGTAATAGTAAGCAATAGACAATAATTGAGTTAAGAAAGGCCCAGGGGCGGCTGGTTAGCTCAGGTGGTTAGAGCGCAGGCTCATAACACCAAGGTTGCCGGTTCGATTCCCACATGGGCCACGGAGCTGCGCCCTGCACAAGTAGATTGAAAGAACTACTTGACTTGGAGCTGACGGGTCCTGGAAAAACACAATAAAATTTCTTTAAAAAAAAAACAACAACACACATTGTCTCCCACTGTTCCTCACGCTAGTTTCTAAACGCCCTGGGCACACTCTAAGTTGTCCAGCACCCACAAGGAGGGATCAGAAAGGGTACGTGAGCTGCTCCTGTCTGGCTGGTTGCTATCAGAACCCCCATTAAGATATTAGCGCCGGCTGAGTGGCGCGATGGTTAAGAACTGGCTTGGGATGCCAGAGGGCCCCGGTTCGGATCCCACATATGAGGACCAGTGACACTGCCCTCTGCAGCTAAGATGCTGAACAACAGCTCAACCTGGAGCTGGGCTGCCCTGAGTCGCCGGCGACGGCGTAGGCTGCAGCCCCTGTGGCAGTGGGTTGCCATGGGCTACCGTATGTAGCCAGCAGCCAGCGTGAGCGGCCAGCAGCTGCAGTGAGCGGCCGTCCAGAAGCCGGCGACTAATCTGCCTCGCCCGGGAAGAGCGCAATGATGGTGCCAACTTGGGCCAGTGAAGCAACATCCTCCACAACCAGACTGAAGAACAAAACGACAGCAACTTGTCTGTTCCCCTGTCCCGAATTCCCCAGCACTGTTTCCATCCCCCCAATTCCCCAATAAAAATCTTTAAAAAAAAAAGATATTAAACTGCTGGCTGGTTGATCAGTAGAGTCTCCAGCCAGAATGTTCACTGTCCGACATTCACTGTCCAGCATTTACCACATGTGCCAGTGTCTCTGCTGGAAGGGCGTGGGATCGTGGTGCCTGTGCCTACCACATGTGGGGAAATTTGTTTCTGTGGGTAATCAGAAGCAGCTCGAGGCTAGGCCTGGCCCGGTGGGCAAGTCCTGCCACCCTCTCAACTCCCTGCAGCCTGGCTCTGCTCCTCAGCCTCAGGGCTTCAATTCCTGAGTAGAGAATTTGCTGCCAGCATCTAACCAATAGAGACAGTAGCCATAATTGCTAATACCGTGGCAACTTTGTATCTCTGTAGTTTTATTCTTTTTATAAATTACAGTATAACTGACATAAAATAGTATATAGTATTAGTTGTTTCTGCATTTTTAAGAGTACAGTTGACCTTTGAACAACACGGGGTGGAACTGTGTGGGTCTACTTACATGTGAATTTTTGTTTCTTTTTTAAAAATTTTATTGGGGAACAGCCATGGTACACATTGCTTTTCATGCTACAATGGCATAGTTGACTCTTTGTTTTTCCAGGACCCATCAGGTCCAAGTCAAGTAGTTGCTTCAATCTAGTTGTGGAGGGTGCAAATCAGCGGCCCATGTGGGGATCGAACCAGTGACGTTGGTGTTATGAGCCTGCATTCTAACCAACTGAGCAAACCGGCCGCCCCAATTTTTTTCCAATAAATACTGTAAATGTCTTTTCTCTTATGATTTTCTTAATTTTCTTTTCTCTAGCTTACTCTGTTGTAAGAAGACAGTATATAATACACATAACATACAAAATGTGTGTTAATCAATTATTTATATTATCAGTAAGGCTTCAGGTAGGCTACCAGTAGTTAAGTTTTTGGGGAGTTAAAAGTTATACTGTGCTGGGTGGGAGAACACTGCCCTAACCCCCACACTGTTCAAGGGTCAACTATATTTCTGTTAAGTGAGCAGTATTACTTAGAAAGAAAATTATATCAGGGTTGGTTTCTAAAAACAGAATGTGAGATATCAGTGAACTCAGGGAACTGTATACATGTCATTAAGACCTGTGGAGAAACAGGCAAAATAAGGATAAGGAAACTGTAAACTATTTGACACCAAAGACTAAAAGAACCAGGAATGCAAATGAGCAGAGGGTTCCGATCAGACAAAACCTGCCATGAACCACTGCCTGGTCACCCTGGTGACAGGGATGTGCATGTGCTCCTAGCATCCCAGCAGAGCCACAGGCAAAGGCTGTGAATAGTGACTGACTGGGGTGCAGCACTGGGCAGTCTCGAGTGCTCATCCTAACAGTCGCAGGAGGAGCCCGCCGGCTCTGTGGTCAGGTGCTTGGCACCTCTATTGCCCCAAGGTCACAGTGGGCTCCGGTCTACATCTGGATCGTGAGAAAGGCGACGTGGGCTCTGGTCTACACCTGGGTCGTGAGGGAGGCCATGTGGGCTAAAGAAAGCATCTGGCTAGTGAATCTACAGCTTCAGTGAGAAAGTGAGAGAATCAAGAAACAACTAACAACTATACAAACCTCAACAAAAGACTTTATCCCCCTAGCATATCAGCACGTGGGCCTGTGGCCAGCCTTCTAGCCCCACTGGTGAGGCATTTCCAAATCGAAAGGGTTCACCCATCCTATGAGCCATCCTATGAGCTTTTCTCTTTAGCTCAGCCTTACCCCGACCTCCTGGTAACTCCCCTTGGCTCACACACACTCCTCCAAGGAGAGGAGGCACAGCCTCAGTCACACTACCAGCCACTTGACAGCTCTGATGCTGAAAACAGGCTCGACGACAACAGCAGCCTCAAAGAACCGAGGACCAGCCTTACCCTGGTGCCCGGTTTGAGGTGCAGCCGGACAAGATCGTCAGTCTCATAATGGAAGTCTGTCGGGAGAGTGGTGGCCCTCCAGTTCTGGTTCTCCAAAGTGGACTTGGCCAGGATAGTAGTAGTCTAGTAATTAAAAACAAACCAACAAAAAAGTGGCTTTTAGGCATCTTTAATAAAAATGGTCAAAACCTACTATTTCTTGGAAGGAGCTAAGGAAGGGTATGGGCAACACTAATCTGCCTTCAGAGTTCCAAGTTCATATTCTAAACTTTACTCTCTCTGCCACTGTATTTGGTATAATTTCTCGCTTCTTATACAAATTGAGGAACACTGAAGCCATCCATTTGAGTTAAATTTATAATGAATGTTTAAAAATCACATCTAAAAGGAAAAGAGGAATGTAAAGAGCAAGTTAAGAAAGTATAAATGGTAATAAATGCAGCACAAACCTTTACTTTTCTAAAATAATCGTCAAAGTCAATGTTGTCATCAAAGTCGATTTCAAATTCTTTCTTTGTGCTCTTCTTTCTGTTGTCTGATTTTGAGGTAGCATCTTCTGCAGAAATGGACACAGACGGAACACTGCTCACCTCTGGGGCCTATGTTATTTCCTCAGCTCACAAGATGCACCCACAGCCTCCCCAGCCGCTCTGTAACACTGGGAATAGGCAAATCTCACACACCTGATTTTCATCCTTAACTTGTAATTTGTGTTTTTGCTAACAAAACACAGTAAAAAAAATATGCTAGTCGGCCCCTGCTTTTTGTTCACAGAGGGACTACAAAACACAGGATGCTGGCACAACCCCCTCCAGAGTCCCACTGGGGACTGCCTCATGTGGGCCCCTAGAGCCCGCTGGTCATTCCCACCTATGGCCACTGTGTGAAGTCATGTGGACACTAGGGGGCAGGGCCAAGCCATGAGCTCTCGGGGCTCTTCCCACTCAGAGGACTCATCCTTATCTGAGCCTTCATCCCAGGCCAGGCCAGCTGACTGTCCACCTGGGAGGCTGGCTCGTCTGTGTGCTTCTGACCAGGGGCTGCAACAGATAGCAACTAGCACTTCCCGTCCTTGGCTGACCTGCCAGCTGCTCACCCGCACTCTCTTCCTAAGGGGTACCACCCGGAAGTACATACGCTTGTGTCGGGGTCTGAAGCGCCAGTGCTCGGGCCCTGCCCACAGAGACATGGTGCGGGGGCTGAAATAGGAATATTCTCCAGGCTTCATGGAGAGAAGGGGGCACATGGTCCTGATGTCTCCATCTCCGAGAGGGATCATCTCTTCCCTGTAACACATGAAGGCACGTTTTTACATGTACAACCATGTCCATGTTGATACGCACCAGCATGCATTTACATGTAAGCAGCATGTGATGCAGCTGAAGACCACCTACCTGCTTCTTCACAACAAGCAATATTTCTGAGAAAGACCAGTACAAATGCTTCGTCATCAACAACCCTCAAGCTTTGACTTCATTTTGTTTGAAGTCAAACAGAGATGCTTTGTTTCTCTTGATTTGATAACAATATGATCGTATCTACACAAGTACTTTGGATATTTCAAAATGCTTCGTAAAAGCAAGTTTACCCACTTGAGAGACAAGAAAACAGAGGGAGAAAGGCTGTTTTACATGAGACGACACAGCGAGTAAACTGCCAGAGCTGGGAGCCAATGTGCCCTGCAGCCCGGACTCGGTCTTCCCCACAAAGGCTGGTGCTCACCTCTTTTCCTCACCACCCTTCCACAGGAGGGCTCCAGCAACTCTGTTGTACAATAGTTCCCTAAAAGTGAAGACGTTATGCTGTCTTATGTCCCCAGATGTCGGGGCCCCTCACAATCTATCTGTAAAGCCACCTAGCTTCACCCTTCGCTGTGTAAGGTGTCTCACTCGCCAGTCCAGTGTGGCAGTCCGAGTCGGATTTTCACCCTTCCTGAGACCCACCAGAGCCTGAGATAGCTTCCTCCTGGGTTGTGAGCTGCTCTACTGCCCTCTAAAGGGAGGGTAACAAGGGGCCTGCAGAAGGCCCATGGAAATCCCCGGTACAAAAGCCTGATGGAGTAAGCTAAAAAACCTTCAAAGGGGACTTTGCCTGTATCTACAGAAAGAATCTTTTTTAAAACCAGGAAACTGTATCTGTATATTTATTGTGTAACTAAAAATTAATTTAAAAAATTAAAATATACTAAAAAATTCTCATCTCTAGTCTGCAGGATACCCAGTCTGTTATTAAGTGACACTGCACTGCCCTGCAAATCCCAGAGGGAGGAGATGGCTTCGGCAGCAGCCCCACTCAATGCTCACGGGTGTTCCGTTAGTTTTGGTGGCTGGGCTGGGAATTAGGAACTGACAGGCAAAGCTATAACAAGCTCGTCAGTGGGCCACCGCTGGATGAGGCCCTGGAGGCTTGAATGCAGTCATTTAATAATTCTTTCAATACGGTGCTGTGTGGCAGACACTACAGGTCCCCACTCAACAACTAGCCTAACCACGGCCTACCCCTTTCAAGGCCCACCCCTCCAATCCCCTGGAGGAACTCTTTCTTCTTCCTGCCCCCCTTCAGTTTAGCACCCGTTCTGTCACTAGTGCCTGCGGGTTACAGGTCTCCTCCAGCTGGCCCCACAGCAGAATGCCTCACATGGGCACGCCTGCAGCACAGACCAGGTGGGGCAAGCTCTGAGCTGTGTGGACATCGAGCGCTTCCTCAGGTGTGACCTTGCTAACATAGGCACACAGAGCTCCTTTATACACTGCTGCTGCCATCCAGGGACCAGTAATACAGGCATCCCACACACACGGGTATTTACAATCTAGCACCATCCCCACCCCACCCTGAACTAGAGCAACGCTTGAAGACCTGTCAGTACGGTGCAGGGTTTTCAGCCCTGTGCACAGGACCGTCACCCAAGGAGATTAGGGAAATGGTAATACAGTGGCTGGCCTCGCACACTGTCAGCTAAGTACTCTGGGTGGAGCCTGCCATCCGCAGCTCACTCATTACATGCGGCCAGGACCTCTTAGCCTCTCTGAGCCTGTTTCCACATCTGTAACATGGGGCAAACAGGACCTAATTATAGGATTGTTATGAGGTTTAAGTAATTACATTTTATATACTACCTAAATTAGGTGAGATAACACAGGTAAGGCACCCAGCAGGACAATGAGGAGCTCAGTAAATATCAGATATTACAATTGTCATCAAGTCTCCGATCTCCCTGGGTGACTGTCCTGTGCACCAGGGCTGAAAACCCTTTTTTTTAAGGATGAGAAAACAAAAAACCCAGAGGGTGAAGCCACTTGCCCTACAGCTCATTGCTTCCATGGTAGGGTCAGGTCCAGTTTAGCTCAAACACCTAATGAGGAAAAGGCTAGCACCATGCCAAGGGAAGGGGGCTTCAAGATTAACAGGATCCTAGACAAGATCCTAAGCCCCCACCCCTAAGGCATTCAGCAGGATGGAGTCTAAGATTTTGTTCTAAGGCCAGCCGAGTGGCTCAATTGGTTAAGAGCTTGCTCAAGAGTGCGAGCTCTGAGCAACAGGGTCGCCAGTTCGATTCCTGGCCTGAGCTGAGCTGCCACTGAGCTGCTAACAGGTGGCAGGATGGCTCAGCTAAAATAAATAAATTAGTTAATTAAAAAAAAAAGTAAAATGGAGATTTTGTTCTGTGTGGAGGTGGGGAGAGAAATGAAGAGACTTGCTCAAAATAATCATCTACGATCCTAACAAAATGAAAGTGACTTTGCTACCATCACTTCCTCAAATGTCACCTCATTGTTTAGGAAGAGTAACAGCTCTTCTGACACTTGAAAATGTCCCATCAAGCTGCCTGCCACCATTTCTTACTTCTCAGAAGACAGGATGGGAATAGGAACAAAATCACAGGTCTGTCAATAGCACAAACGGGGGTCGGAGGGTGCTGGAGGGCCTGCAGGTGCCCAAAGGAGTCCCTCGACCTCCACTCTGATTTGAGGGCACATATTCAGTTGAATCACCTCCCATGTGAGCAATCAAACTGAGCTCAAGACAGCAGTCTCAGCATGGAGACATAAAGCAACGCTTTTAAAGGGATTCTCACCTCGGTGGGAATTTACACTGGATGGTTTCTGAGGTTTTACCCACTCAACCAGCTTGGCTGGCCCCAACCCCAATCTTGCAAAGTTGCTCTTAGAGGCACAGGCGTTATCAGAGGACCTGTTCTACACCCAGGCCCACTCAAGGCCTTTAGAGGCCCTCGGCACTGTGGCAGGTGGGATCCCGCTTCCAAATCATATCCAACATTTAAATAATATCTATTACGTACAGAAAACAAAGTTCTGATTTTCTTAGATAGTTACTAGAGTCATGAAAACTTTAAATGCCTACAGACCAATTGTACTACCTCTCCTCCCACCCCACATGCCCAGTGGTATATGCTGATTGAGTCTCCCCTGCTTTGCAAGGCCCTGGTCTGTCTACCTGGTGACTCAACACTATCCAGCCCCGCTTTGCCTGACCCTTCAGGCAGAGGCCACGTTTTGTTCAGTAAGCAGCACATCAGCCTGTTTCTGTCTGTAACAATATGGAGTGACTTAGCCAGAGGCCGGAGCAAGTGCTGCGTGTGCAACAGGAGAACGCTCCACGCTACCGCATGCGAGTGGGGCCGAGAGCCTCTGACGGAATAGCTACTTCCCAGCTCTTGTCTACCTACTTAGCTCTTTCTTACAAACGCCTGCAACATCACTCTTATAATCAGTAAGTGGCTGAGCAACATTCAAAGGCAGGTGTGATTCCATCATGAATCAGATAGCTTAGCCTGTGTGGATGACCCGCACAGCAGCCCAGCCAATCAGAGAAGAAACAAGACTATCCCAGCAGGAGGTCTGGGATGTTCCCATGGCCTCAGAGCCTTACTGGCAGCTCTGGCCGCGGCTGGGCTCCCTCCAGCTCCTGAGCTCTGTGTGATCCCCAGAGGCTGTGCGGTCAGGTTCGTCGTTGGCATCGAAGTCGTCCTCCAGGGGCCCGTCAGGGAAGTCCCCGCCATCACTGTCCTCTACCTCAGCATTGATGTCAAATACCTGGTCATTCTTCTTGAACTTGTCTACCAGGGCTGATACAGACTGGGGGGACAAGGAGAGGGTTGTTGGTGTTCCCATGACCACCCTGGTCACGGCTGGACGTGCCTCCTCCCCCTCCCGGGAGCCAATGTTCTCACGACAGAAAAGCACCAAGGACGGTTACACTGGGGCACACGGTGGGGCTGTACCAGCCTTGGGCACATTTTGTAAAACATGAAACAGAAACTCGCATCCATTAGCTACATGTTTAGAGAAAATAGTTGTCTGTGAAGACCATTATTTTGGAAGCTACAGTAGTAGGCTAAAGGGGCCATGCTAAAAATACACAGAGACAATTTTTCAGGAAACTCTGTGCCAAGGGACTCAACCTCAGATTGCAGGAAATTCCTTGAACTTGACAGCACCCAAGGGACCAGCGGCCACCGGGATAACCACGTTCAAGAGTAAATGTGGTAAAGTGTGTGCCTCAGGACTGGCAGGGCCCCTCACCCGAGGGAGGCACTGAGCTGTCCACCGGTCCCCACTCCTTCTCGCTGCCCCCAGGGTTTAGTCCCGACAGAAGTGCCAAAGGAAATATTTTCTGTACTCGTGGCTGAATAAAAACGATGCCACAGTTTTGGTTCTCACTGGGCAGAACTAATCTCAGATGGGCTCACTGAAACCACAAGGTGCTGGAGAAATGCCCAGAACCCTCAGATGTCCACACATTGACCATACCTCATTATGGGTTTCACTGTCCCATTTAGTGAACTGGAAGCCGGCCAGGGAAGGGCAGATCTGACGGTCTTCCGCACACTGCTGCAGGGGCGCTGGAGGACGGGAGAGCAGAAGGTTAGAGTAGGAGGGAGCACGTGGCGCGGGAGGTGCCGTCACCCCCCGGTCCTCCGGGGGGTAGATGTGCTGGAGGCGGGCTCCACGCTGCTTCAGCAATCTGTACAACACAAGGGCAGGAACCCGAAGCACAACACATGACTGAGAGGCGCTCTGGGCCTGCGCTGGAGACAGGAGATCGAAGCCCTTCCTTAAAGTGAGCTGAGTGCACAGCCCATCATGCCATGTGACCAGTCCTAAAGTAGCTACAGATGACCTGCCTCATAGGGTTAGCCCCAGCTGAGCACATACACTTGGAAAACAGCTTGTCTTACTTAGCAAATCTAAGAGGAGCCTGAAAAAGGACAAAGCACTGTAACCTCTGCCCAGCCCTGTAGAGTGGGGGTCGATTTCATGCAACACACAGAAATGGTTACACACAGGTACGGCTGTCGTATCCTCGTGTCTGCCCCTCTCCCCCCAATCTGTGCCTGTCACAACTGGGGGCATGGAGGGGAGAATGGGAGGGGGTTAAAATCCTTGCCTGGGGTCTGTGAGCAGTCCACAATGCCCGCTTTCCCATAGGACCTCCCGAATTGGTGACAAATATGAAGCCTGTCTAGCTCAACAAGCCTGTCAAAGTCCCTTTCCCAAGTCCAAACTCTGACACTCCGGGGTTAGCTGATGGCTCCAATAGGTGAGTGGGCGGCTGGCTGCTAATGGGACACCTGAGGGATGGGCATACTCAGACTAGGAGCAGGGAGCACTAGTGACCATGTGTCAGGCCTCATGCTGCACAAAGTGGGGAGGTCAGCTTCTCCCAAAAGGATGCCCAATTTGGCACCCCAGAAAAACCTTCCGGGTCATTTACATAAGCAACACAAGAGCACATTGGGCTTTCTAAAGTCCACGGCTACAGGAAACATCTCCGATGGCTGACACATTCTGGTGAAAGGCACTGTGTGGACCTACCTTTCAAATCTGTCATTTCTACCCGACCCAGGTCCTGCATCTCAGAAGGCCCTCCAGTGGGGAGGGCCTGGGCATCGGAAGGAAAAAGCAGCTCACTTCTGTAGTCCTGGCAGTGGAGGGTGGAGAGGAACACCCCTGCTGTGCTACACTCATCGAATGAGGCTGCCGTCTTCTGAAACATGGGGTCAATCTGAGCACAAACACAGGGAACCCAGGGTTATGGGATGAAACCAAAGGAAACATGAAATCTCACTCACTGGGCCTGCTCATCACGGCTGCACACGATCAAAGGGGGCACTTTCTAACTGATCAGTTAAAAGCCGATCCTAGTATATGCCAGTTCAAAAGAAAGGCTCTATGTGGTCAGATGGATAAATGTATACTGCTCAAGAACACAGTGGTCAACAAGCTTATAACACGTCCATCTGTTTGTTGAAAGTGGATGGTAACCTTCTGCTGGCCTCTTCCCACAAGTCACCATTCTTGAGTGAGCTCTTAACCAACTGAGCCACTCGGACGGCCCAACAAGTCACCATTCTTGAACGGCTATCTCTAGTGGAATGCTATCATAGCAAGTTCTGCTGACTTAAAAAGCCTGTGAGATGTCTGTCCACAAGATCCCATTATTCCTCGGACTGGAAATATTGTCAAAGATTTGGAAGAACACAACCAAGAGATCCAGGCAAAGGACAGGTAGAGTCAGCCAGGCTAGTTGGCTGGGTCAAGGAGCAGGAGGGACACAGCCACATGACACCAAGCCCAAAGGCAGAACAGGGCACAGGGTGTAAGAATGGGGATGCGGCAAAGCACATGCATGTGTGGCAAGAGGGTGGAAGCCACCTGGGACACTACAGGTGGCCCTGGGACAGGAATATGTTGGGTACGGGGTTCACAGGTCTTCCTGATGGCTCAGGACTGGCTACTATAGCGAGGGGTTTTGGATACGACAACATACGTGGCTCTCTGAACCCTGGGCCTGACCTCCCAGAGCGAGTCTCCTCTCGCCTCCATAACCTGTCTTGTGTCCCAGCCCAGAGCAGCACACGTCCCTCCGTGTTCTGCCTCCTCGCCCAGTCAGTCACACAGCCTGCTGGGTTTTGCCCTTTATCCCTTTCTTCCCATCCCGACTGCTACCAACACAACCCTCGCCTGAGTTAACCCCATCTCTGGTTTCTCCTGTTTCCTATCCTGCAAAATCCAGTCCTGTTACTCCATTCACTTTCTCAAGTGCTAACCAGAGCAATGGGTCCCAGCCAGCCCCACCCCCCAGAGGGCTTTTGAAACTCAGTATTTCAAAGAGGCTGCACGCAGAAGCAGTACAATGATACACAGTAAACCTGAAACCACTAAGATAACTTTCCTCACTTTTGTCTAAGTTATATCATGCCAGTGTGAGCATAATGTCAGGTAAATTAGATCTGATTGACATTTTTGAGTAATTTCATGGGAAAATGAATTACGCTGGCTGTATAGTTTGGGTAGATGAACCTTCTAAAACAAGGGTCCACAGCAAGGGAAAGAACCAGGCCTTGGTGGGCGGCAGGCCGCAGGAGGCCCAGGGTCGTTTCAGCCTCATGAATAAGTCCTCGGCTCCAGCCCAACCGGTACACTGTCCAGCTCCCCCAAAGACCCAGAATGTTCCGTGACTGTGCTGATACCCCTGCCACAATCCCCTTCCTGGCACCGTCCAGCCAACACATAGCTCCCCTTCCTTCAAGGTCCAGAGCACCCCTTCCATAAACTGAGCACACAGTGGAGAGTGGGGTCCCCTACAGGTGAGTGCACACAGTGCTCCTGCCAGTCAGACACCCACCGAGAATTGCTCTCTACTCTCCACACCATCTCCAGGGAACGGCTGACTTCAAATTCTGAGTCTGGGATGATCCCTCCCGCGTTTTCATCGTCTGTACCTTTGGCTACTGTGAGTTTACGGCAGGAGACTGAGCACACAAAACTCTCAGCACTGGGGTACTTGGTGTGTCTTCAAGACAGCTGAGTTCACTTGCTGTGAGCAGGCCACAGCCCAACAGCCCCAGGCTTACAAGGAGCAGCGCTCCGTCCCATCCTCACATGCTCAAGGTCGCCACGCTACCATTTCTCCACTTTCTGCATTGTCAATAACTCCTTCTCCACTAGGCTATCACCCTCAACAAGCAAACATGCTGGTAATTCTCATTTAAAAAAATATCAAACGAAACCTCTACACCTCACTTCACCTCCATCTGCCATCCCATGACTCTGCTCCAATTCATAGCAAGCCTCTTCTAAACAACAGCCTACACTCAATCTCTTCCCATCTGTCTCCCCCATTTATTATCAAAAATTTCAAACCTACAAGAATGTTGAAATAGTAGGATGAACCTGTGTAACTTTTACCTAGATCCCCCAATGGGTAAACTGTGCATATCTGTGTTCTCTATCCCGCCCCATCCCCTCCCCACCCCCACCAGAACCTTTTGGAGAGTCGAGATTATGACACTTCGCCTCTCTGCCCGTCATTAAGCTACTGCCTCTCAGCTCCAAACCCGCCTTCTACCCTGCGATGCTGGGTCAGGGCCACATTTCAGCTCGGCCCGCAGCTCTGTGTCGGGCTCCACCAATAGGGAGCACTAGAGGAGACTGCTGGATGAGAAGGGACCTGCTTCTGTAGGTTTCCTGTTCCTGTGTCGCTCAGCACTGCTTCCTCACTGGGGATGTGACAGGTCCTACCTGCAGCAGTAGCTGAATTCAATGTGTGCTTTTTCTCACATTCACAGAACCAGCCTCACCATGTGCCTCAGACACCAGCCCTAATCAGCATGCCCTCCTCAGGTCTGGGTCCTGGGCCCACGAGCTCCTCCTCCAAACTCACGAACACCAGCTCAGCCAAGCGGCACCCCTTCCTTGGAGGTCTGAGTTTCTGCTCCTCAAGGCCCCCTCCAAGCTCACCTGTGGCCTCAGGCTGCCACGTTTAATGTGGCTGATCACGCCCTCTTCCCCAAAACTCTCACTGGGACATCACTCTCCTCCTACCTACTGGATGTTTCTTCTTCAGCTTTCTGAACTCTTAAGACTGGGGCACCCCACATACTCATTCCTCTGGTAATCAAGCACAGTCTCGTAACTGTAATTACCACTTACCTATGCTGTGGAGGTGGGAGAAAGAAGTAACCTAGTCCACTGTTAGTGGGAGAGTAAATGAGTACCTTTCTGAGGGCAGTGGGAATTCCGTCTTAGAATTTTCTTATGAATATACTCCCAGAAGAGTGCAAAGGTAATATATACACGTGTTCATGGAGATAATTGTCTTTTAACAGCAAGAATTTTTTTTAAATCTGAGGCAATACCTGTTAGCTTCAAATTAACTGTGCTAGTTATAAATGAGGCTTCTGGCACCATTCCCTTAAGCAGAGTCCTTAGGATGTACCAGATTATACGGCTGCTTGGAGCAAGGAGTCTGGAGCCAAAAGCCAGACCACTCAGCATGCGTCAGATCCTGGCTTACTGACAAGTGTCACCTTGGGCATGTTACTCAACAACCCTGCACCTCAATCACTTCTCCATGAAATGTAACAAGGATGCTGTGAGGGTTAAGTGAGCTAACATGGACCACAAGCTCAGGGCAACACAGCGTCCCAGGAAGTACACGACGTTAGCTATCACCACCAGTGCTGCGTGTAGCAGAGAAAACAAATGTAATCAACCAGATTTCTTGGTAACTGACCATCTCTTTCTACTTAGTCATTCGGAAACGTTGAGGGTAAGCAGGGACTTGCCCCCTGCAGCCTTCACTGCCAGGCTGGAGGATGATGCTGTAGAGACAGCTGAAGGTTGCACTCCCTTGATGATGCACGGGGGGGGCAGGGAGTCCCGAATGAATCAGAGACTGCACTGCGTGCTCACCTCACACTTCTGATCGGCCTCGCAGACGTTCAGGGCACTCACGTTCTGCTCAATGGTTCTGTGCGAGTGCTTCTTCCTTGGCTTTGGAGCCTTTTTGGTTGTTTCCGGATCAGCTGCACTTCCGTCTAAAGAAGGAGTAAGGCCGCATGCTGTGAGGATCGCTTTGGAGGGCAGCTGAACTTACTAATTCAAGTTCCTCAGAATTCTAAAGAGTGACTGTAACTTAGTCTCACAGCAACAGGCACCTCTGCCCCGAAGCTGCTGGAGAAACCAAAGCACTCCATTAAGCCCCTGGCTTCTAACACTGTCACTTTCCAAAGACCACCAGGGCGGGAGCTCCCTAGTTGGTGGTATTTACTCAATCCGGCCTAAATATAATCTAAAAACTTATCTAAGGACCTTCTATTTTTCAGAGAAAAACAACCCGTGTTTGAGAATCTTCTCACAGCCAAACTGAAAATGTCCATGTCTTTACCAGAATGAGGTAATTACTTCCTGTGACTTCAATCCAGTATATTACTCAAATAATGACCTGTTGTGCCCTTTAGAGAGCCCTTACTTAAGTCCAGATCCCCACCCATGTACCTGCACTGTGGCTCTCTTCCACTTCTGGAGCAGGCGCGTCCTTGCCCAGTCCCCCAAGGACTCTGTACACATCAGCGTGGACGGCATCCACGCGCACAGCATAGATCTTGGTGCTGGCGTCCAGGGTGCCCGCAGCCACCTGGTCAGACATGCAGAGCTGGACTCAGGCAGTGCTCGAAAAGGAACTGCTCAACAAGCAAACCGCAGCATGCTTCCTAAATATTTACCTGCCCTTAAGAAGAAAATGACAGAGTCCCCTAAGACTGATAGGGAGCAGACAGAACATAGCAGGAGGTAGCTTCTCTACATTTCATCAGTTTAGGAAAGAAGGTAACATAGCTAGTAAAACATCCTAACCAAGGAAGGTGCTCGTGAACTTGTAGGTTTCAGTGACTGTGCTATGTTAAGTATCAAAAATAATCATTATTAATTCAGATGCAGGTGAATGTGGGCATCCTTCTTACTTTAAAGTTGGTCAGTTCGGTGTCTTTCTGTTTAAGAATCTCTGACATGAAATCAATCAAGTGCAAGCCAAACGCATTCTTGGTGGTGATTTTCTGGAAAAAGAGAATTGCAGAAAGGTTGTTATTTATAGCCCAGGCTTATGTAAGTGATGCTAGCCTGGTAGAGGAAGCTACATTTTTAAACAGGATCGCCTACATCTCACCACAGATAGCAATTCCCATAAACACATAGGGACATAGCTAAACCCATGTGTGTCCCTCATTCTCAAGGCCTAGAGAGTGACAGGAAGAACACGTTCCTGTGTGCTGTGTGCAGGACCCACCCTAAGCACTGAACACAGAGGGATCCCGTCACCCTCAGAATAACTATGAGGCAGGTACGGTTTTTATTCTCATTTGACCGAGGACCCTGCATAGAGGGGTTGGGTGACTTGCCAAGGCCACACGGCTTGTAAGTGGCAGAGACAGGATTCTAACCCAAGCTACCTCTAAAACTCACAATCACAACCAAAGGTCAGCAACTTGTCTGTTCCCCTTCCCTGATTCCCCAACGCTGTTCCCTTCCCCAATTCCCCAATAAAATCTTAAAAATAAATCAATCAAACTCACAATCAGCTGCACAACCCTACTATTTCTTACTATCTGCTGTAAAACACATGGTATTAACTCCACGCTGATACACTGCAGCTGGCAGGCAACCCGTCAGAAGGCACATCCAAGGTCTATAGGAAACAGTGAAACCTACTGACAACACCAGCATTACCAAGAGTCTGGAGAATAAAAGCACACAGTTCTCATCAATCATGCATTCTCTACAGAAGCAAGATGGCTAGATTTCCCTGTGCTTAAGTTGCAGAATCCTTGTGGATAAGCCAGCAAATACTCACATTTTCAGTGGATAGTTTGATACAGGTGGAGTAATGCTCTGTAATCTGTGTGTTTGTAAATTTAGGAATCGTAGCTGAAAGGTCAACACTCCTAAATGAAAAATAAGAACAAGACACTCTGGCAAGGATCCATGACCCTGTAATTTTTCAAATTCAAGCCCCAGAATCCCTGAGGTAGTGCGCAGATGCCAGACCCAGGTGCCCCACATCAGGACACAGGGCCGACTCAGAACACACTCACCGGCTGGATGGGGAGGCCAGCAGGCGGGGCGAATCCGTGCTGAACTGCAGGTCCAAGGCCCGGGAGCGCCTCCGCTGCAGACGCTCCTTTTCATCATCATTCTGAGGGAAGTCCTCAAGAGCCGGGGTGCTGGGAGTGTTAAGAGGGGCCTTCCTGGGCGGGGGCATCGAGAACACCCGCTTGGATGGTGAGGGGGCACTGTGGGGGTGTCCACGGGTCTCTGAAGAAGAGTCATGCACTGTGGTCAGTGATGGAACAAAACACTTGCTCAAGAACCTTTGAGAGAACGTTTCCTGGATCTAGAGGGGGCTCCGGGTAGAAGTTCACCTCATGTTTCCCACCAACCTCATTTCCAAGTCTAATGGTATATGGGATCAACATCTATATTTTGGGTTTCTTGGGGGTGATGGGTATCTGATGCTTCCTTGCCCATCTGGACAAACACCCACTATTGTGAACCTAAAGCACTATTGGGATATAAAGGTGGGGAAGACACACTAACAGAACAATAGACACATATGACCAGATTCCCAGGCGAGACAGACAAGACGCCAAGATAAGGGGGAGGTATGGGTTATCAAGCCAGACAGCCTAGGTCCTAAGAGAATAAACAACACAAATGTGTAAAATAAGTAGGATGTGCCAAAAATCACCCATAGATGACTTGCTAACTGCAAAGGGAAAAATGGTTTTTACAACAAAAGATCTAGCAGTTACCACGTTAACCAAGCAATCAAATAAATGTAGCCTCTCTAAAAATGAGACAACTTGAAACTGACTCATCTCTTGATGGGACAAAATATGAAACTCACAACATCACCCATAAAATATTTTTGCCACAGAGGTTTAACCTAAACTTAACTAAGACTTTAGCTCTAACTTCCAGTTTATAAGAAATACAGAGGCTAGAGGGACAAGTTAAATGATATCAGGAGGAAACAGACAAAAACTGTAAAATGTGGTACAATTTACAAAACAACTGGCTTAGTCTCTTCAAAAAGTCCCCCCCAAAAAAAAAAAAGAGGTACTCTTCATGATTAAAAGACACCAGAGTCATACAAACCAAAACCAAAACCAATCTTTGAACTTTCAGCCAATCCCTGGAAAGAAAGAAAGAAAGGAAGGAAGGAAGGAAGGAAGGAAGGAAGGAAGGAAGGAAGGAAGGAAGGAAGGAAGGAAGGAAGAAAGGAAGGAAGGAAAGTAATTTTAAGATAGAAAAAAACCCAGCTTGATAGAAAGAATGAAGCAAAGAGATTGTATTAGTTTCTTACTACTGCTATAACAAATTAGCACAAACTAAGTGGTTTGAAATGACACCAATGTATTCTTTTGCAGTTCTGGAGTCAAGTCTAAAATCAAGGCGTCAGCAGGGTTGCATTCGTCCTAGAGGCTTTCGGGAAGAATCTGTTTCTTTGCCTTTTTTTATCCAGCTTCCAGAGGCCACCCACATTCCTTGGCTGTAGTTCCTTCCTCCCATCACTCCACCTTCTTGTTTCTGTCATCGCATCTCTGACTTTGACCCTCCTGCCTCCCTTGAAAAGGACCACTGTGATGACATTGGGCCCATCCAGATAATCCAGGATAATCTCCCCATCTCAAGAACCTTAATCGCACCTGCAAAGCCCCTTTTACCATGAGATAACATTCACAAGTTCCAGACATTTTTTTGGGGGGGGGCCATAACTCAGAGATCCTGCAGAAGGGTGAAAGTTGCTGAACAATGTACTCAAGCAGGTAAAGGGGTTCCTCTGCTGAGAGTAGAGCCCATCCACAGCAAAAGGAGAACACAGGCCCAGGTGCAGGGGGGAAGCAGCGGCGGATGGTGGACTGTGGATGTTCTCTTTTGATTGTTTTTCTTTTCTTAGGAAAATAGGAAGTAAATAGAAACCCCAAGCTCCACATCTAAGGGTGAGGGCTGGGCAGATTTCAGGAGAGAAAGGAGGGTATGAAATAGTCATCTATAGAGGGAGAGTGGGTGATCTAGGGAATATGGCATGACTGCTGGGCAGCCTTAGGGTCCTCTTGACTATTGGGTGCGCTGGGCAATGTAGGCGGAGTTGGAATTAACCAGGGTTGAGAGTTTGTCAAGTGTAAGGAAGCAAGAAGAGGGCAGGGAGTTGCGGGTATATGAAAGGGAGGGATTACATTGACGGACCACAGCATATAAGCTAAGCAAGGAGGGGAACAAGGTCATGAGGTGAGGGGCAGTGAAAAGAAGAGTACAGGTCTGCTGGATCAAAAGACTGCTGGAGTCGGGGAACAAAACGGAGTGAGCCGGAAAGACAAAAGTGGTGTTGAGAAGTGGGGTCATAAAATTGAGATGACACTGAGATGACAGAATGGTGCAGCTATTGACAATGACAAGGTCTGGGGTGTGACTATGGTAGTTGAGTGCAATGGCTTATTATGGCTGGGAAGAGAGAGATGAGGACACCAAAAGACTTTTGGGGAATGTTTCCAGATTTAAGAATCGGAAGGCTTGTCTTCAAACCCCAGATCCATCACTTATTAGCTGGAGACATTTTAAGCAAGTACACGGCCTAAGCATTCACTTCTTCATCCTCCATACGAGAATAAGAATGTGTATCTCAGCTGGTTCAGAACTAGTGATATGGAAAAAAATACGTATGCACAATATAACATATTTTATAAAAATACATTAAAAATAGTGAGCCACAATAACATTAAACGGTTGCCCATCTGACAGGAAAGAAAAAGGAGTGAACAGGGATAAAAGAATTAAAACAATATAAGAACTTCACGTTCCCCTGATAGCTTCCTACAAGCTGAAGAATATCATTAACATATCTCTCAGCTGAGGTCAAAATAAGCAAAAGAAAAAGAAAGTAAAAGTAGAAAGGAAGGAAGCAAGAGACACTTTTAGAGACTGAATCAAGGGAACTTGTGACTATGTATGTGGATGCGGACGCTGCAAGGTAAGGAAGGGGGCTGGACCTTGGCAGAAGAGACCTTAGCAGAAGAAACAGGAAGCACTGCAGGAGGAGCTTGTCTAAGACAAAGACTCCAGTCGGCCATCAGAGGCAAGCTTCAATCCTTGGAATGTTCTTTTTCTGATTTGTCTCACTGCCTTTGACATCATGCATCTGTTCATTCCACAGATCATTGCTGAGCTCCAAAACACTTTCTGTATCTACTTCCTCACCTCCTCATTTGCAGCTCCCTCTGGTCTGGCTCCCATCCCCCACTACCTTATGAAAACTGTCTGACCACCCACAACTTCCATGTTACCAAACCCGGTGGCTACTTTTCAGGCCTCACCTCTCTGGAGATTCAGCAGCACTTGAAACAGTTGACAACCCCCAGCTTCTTGAAACACTCTTGGCTCCTATACTAGAGGAACTCTCTTCTGAGTTCCTCCAGCTTTTCCTTCTATCCAGCTTCTAAATGTTGGTTCTGAGTGCTTTCTCTACAGGCCTTTCCTAGTGTTCTCAGCTGTTGCATGGTTTTACGCCCTATAATGACGACGTCCAAATTTATTTCTCAGTCCAGGGGCCACTCCTCTGAGTGGCAAACTCTTACCCAAGTGTTTTTCGATCCCTTCACCTGTCTCTCTGGTAGGTCATTTACCATGTCCAAAATGCAACTCTAAATTCCCAAACATCTTACGGAGACCTACAAAGGCCCTGCCCACTTGAGCGACCTCGCTCACTGTTTAGTCACAATGTTCTGAACTAGCCTATGCCAGGCTCATTCCTGCTTGCCCTTTTTTTGCACCTGCTCCTCTGTCTGGAACACATTCTCCAGTCTCTGCTAAAATCTTAAGTGAACCCTTAACCTAAAGGGGCCCCACTGTGCTATGGTTGGGAAGACAGCGATGAGGACGTTTCAATCAAATCGCAGCACTCGGGCTCATCTGTAAATTATTTCGCTTATTTATTGTCTATTTTCCCAACTAGAATACAAACTCCAATAGACTTGGATCTTACCTGTTTCATTCTTTACTATAATCTCTACATCTGACAGAGGGTTTGGCCCAAAGGGAACCCTCAATACTTGTTGAAAGAATGTAAAAATAAACGCTTGCGTTTTGAACATACAGCGGCAACCACAACGCTTCGATGGCCCTGGACTAAAACATGCCTTCCAGGAAAACCACCTTTTTAATGCAGAAGACTAGGGGCACGGTGGAGGAACCTAGGGGAAACGGTTTCCCACCTACGCCCACGAACAGAGGCCCTCCCCTCCCCCCGCGCCAGCCTCCCTCGGCCGGCGGAGAGCAAGGCCAACGACAAAGCCGAGAACACCTCACTTCCCGCTCAGGCCCGCCCGCCGGCCCCGCCAGCGGGACCCCCGCCCCGTCCCGGCCCTTCCCGCCGCGTCTCCGCTCGCCCCGACTCACCTGGGCAGGGAGGTCCCATCTTACCCGCAGCCTCTCCGAAACTGGTTTTAAAACGCGCGCCGAGACGCCGGAGCGCCGTAACGGCCGCGCTGACGTCACATGTAGGCGGGGCCGGGGGCGCGCCTGCGCAAACCGCCCGCTCCTCCGCGCGAAAAGTGGCTCTGGCGGTAACACCGGAGGGGAGACACCCGGAAGTGACAGCTGGGGACTCGGGCCCTCTGGTGGACTGGTGGGTGTCCGTGCCCTCCCCGAGAATAGTATCGAATTCCATCCTTTCGAGTGCTAAACGTGGAACTGGGCTCTGGGGGCCCAGCGTAGAGCAGGGCGGGTGAGGGCTCTGCTTTTACGGTATGTACTTAATGATGGGGGAAGGCAGATTACCAGGAAACGAGGTTAATTTCCCTGTGCTGTGACGTTAACACAAAGGTGAGGGACGGATGTGGGACTGAGCTGACGGAGCCGACCCCGCAATGAGCGTTCCAGGCAGGGGAGGACAGATGCAAAACGTTCAACGTACATTTTTTAACTGAAGGCCATCGTTTTATTCAGGTTCTTGCGAAAAGCTTCCTGGATCTACACACACACACAAACACACACACAACCCCCCCTCCACCCTCCACCCCCGCCCCCCTTCGAAAAAGCAACGGTTAAGGTCGGAAGTGAGGCAGGCGCAATGTCTGTCGCCTATCCCTTCGTTCCGCTTCATCTGATCCCAAGAATTGTATTACGGGAGAAAAGGCCAGGACAATTCCTCCACGTATCCCTAAAACAACCTGTAATTTCTTACAAGACACATCTGGCATTTTATACAGTGTTTCTTCTCAAGGGTGCTCTTGACATTCAGGGTGAAACATTCCTGACAGGTGGGACTCCTGCCCTCTATGGAGGACTGCTCCAGCATCCCTGGCACTGTTGGCCCACTAAATGTCACCACTGCCCCTCAGTCATTTTGGCAACCAAAAAAGTACTACTACCCTTATTAAAAACCACTCTTTAAGCCTATTTGGTTTTTGCACGAATTTGTTCTCCCACTGACCACCTTCAAATCTTTAGTGTAAGGCGGTGTGGGATAGAGGAAAGAAAATGGTCACTGTGTTCATGTCAGTGAATGCTACCAGCCACCCAGAAACCCAAATCAGCCATCCTGGATGCCTTCCTCTCCCTCATTCTCCACACACAATCCACTGTTGAGTCTTTTTACTTCTTTGGGGGCTAAAAAAAGTAGTCCTTTCCCCCTTACCTTCTAAGTTCTAGCTGGGCTAGCAAATTAACAGAGGCAGATTAACGGGAAAATCAAAATTTTAATACATGCACACAGAAAATTCACATAAACATGACAATTCCAAAGACAGTGAGGCAAAATTGCGTATGTAAGACATTTTAGACAAAGGAGAAGGTGGGGGAAGGGGTATTAGATTTCAGAAGTGAGAAAGTGCAACTTACAGGGTTGAGGAAGAGTGGAACATAACATGGCAGGAAAATTCTTGCTAGGCAACCCAGAAACAATGAGACATGGAGGGTAACAAGCTAACAGGCTTGGAGTCTTTCTGACTAATGCTGGGGTGAAGATTCTTAAGGTGACTGAGCCCAGGCTCCCTTCATAAAGCAGGTGTTTCTGTCTGAATCTCTTGGGCAGGAAAGGGGGGAGAAGGGGCAAAGGTTCTCTCTGAGTCTTATTTCTTAATAAACAGCTTAAAATCAATATCCAAAAAAATAGCTTCAGGGTGGCAAAATTTTGGTTCCTTTCACTTCCTAAAAATCTCTTCCATCCTGCATCTCTCCTTTTCATCCACAGCACCTTCTTGCTGGTCGGCAGCTGCCCCACACCAGCTCTAACCCCATGCTCTTTGGGCCCAGGGTGATGGTTGCTAAGTACAAATCTGACTTGATACTTCCTCCCTAGAGTCTAAAACCATTCAAAAGTTCCACTGCTCTGGGAATTTCCAAAGTGATTTACAAGGCCCTGCAGAGTCCCACCCCTGCAGCCTCTCTAGCCTCATCTTGTACCAAGCCTCCCTTGCTCTCTGCCCTCTAGTCACTTGGGCCTCTGTTAACACGTCCTCACCACACCCATGTCCAGCACAGGAACTCTACAGATGCTATGTTCTCCACATATGAGTAGGATCCTCTTCACCCCCATCTTCACCCAGTTGGTTCACATCACCTCCTCAGGGAGGCCTTCCCTGATACACTCAAATGTCTGTGCTGGAGGCTTTAGAACTTGTCACCTGTACAATTTTACATCTGCTGGGGTGACTATTTCATGTCTATCTCCTCACAGACTATCAACTCCATAAGGATGAAGCCATATCTGCTCATCACTGTTTTCCCATGGCCTGGTGTTAGCCCTCTGGACACAGCAAGCATGTAAATGTGTACTGAATGAGTAACATTGGAAGACAAGTTTAAGTCCTGGACTGAGAAGCTTAACTTCCCTGGGCCTCATTTTCTCCCCCATTTATGAAACAGTGATGAGAATAGCCCCTTTTGCTGGGCTTTATGAGGGATTAGGTAGTACACTCCCGTGAGTACATGGGCTCAGTGTATACTAGGGTCACTGTCATCTCACTTGTGCCCTCTGTGCTTCGTGCATTTGAGAGAGAAGAGCTAGCCCCTGGATTCCATGTCTGCGCCAACCAAGAGTGGTGGGGGTTGGGAGGGTAGTGGGTGGCATGGAATCAGGAGTCTCTGAAGTACTGGCTTGGAACTCCTGGCAGAGGAAGGCAACTACATGACCACTCGGAGAGGCATGAGGCTATTCTACGGTTATGATGGAGCCTCCTGAGCTGACTGCATGGGGCTCTGCATGCAGGGAGGGCCAGCTCCACCTCCTGCGTCTCTGTCTCTGTCTCACGGGCCAGGCCCACCAGGTGCAGGCAGGTCATTCACGTCCAGCTCTGAATGCCCTCTTTTGTTTTGAGAGGTTAGGATTAGGAGGGTGCCAAAAGACTGAATGAGTGGTGTGCAAAACTCAATTCCTCTGTCTACAAAAATAAAGTAGTGGGGCCCCTCCTTCACTCCTTGTCTGCAGAAAAGTGGTGCTGGGGGTCATCCCCTTCCTCATTTCACTCCTCACTAAGGTTCTACTTCCCCAAATGAAGGCAAACAGCCTTAGCTTAGGTGAGGGACAATGGTGTTATAAGTTGGTTACCTGAACAAGCAATTTTTGGCTTCAAATTTGCCCTGACCTTCCAGCCTGCAGCTGGCTTATGTCACAGTGTAGTTTGTGATATAAATTATTTAGTCATTGGGGCTCAAGGCGCACATAGTTGAAATGGCTTTACATTCATTTTGGCCTCTGAGCAAATGCCTTTAATTTTGTACATGATATGAAATTCATGACCTCCTAAGACTGGGCTAAGAACCAACGATTTCTGTCTTCTGGAATTTCCAAACAACATACCGCCCTTTATGTTAAAATTAACACAGTGCCTTTGCTTTTCAAAGCACTTTAAGCCCTACATCTTATTTGAGTTCCAAGACGGTGCTGGCCAGGTGCTTTCTTCCAGCCTCTGCTGTTTCCTGTGTGACCTTGGGAAAACTGTGTACCCTTTCTGTGCTTCAGTTTCCTCTTAGGTAAAATGGAGAAGACAAAGCACCCACTTCATGGGGTTCTAGTGTGAGGATTAAATGAGTTACCAGATGTGAAGCATTTAGATCAGTCTGGACCCTTGACAATGCTCAACAAACACTAGCATTTCCATTCCCCTAACTGCTGTTCTATCCTGGGTGCCAGCCAGTTTTTGTCTTAGAATAAAGCTCAAGTTCCTAATACCTGGAAATTTCCCCTTTCATTGTAAGAGTATTCCCAGAGCACTACAGCTCTGTTCTTCCCATTACTGCTTGTTTTTTCTATACTCTTTCTTACACCCACTGCCCCACCCTAGCTGTGCTGTTTCCTTTGTAGTCTTCTTCCCGCTTGTCACCTTGTTTTCTTTCTTGCCCCTTAGATTAGAAACCCAACAGCACTAAAACATATCACCTTCTTTCTACCCGAAAGACTTATGCCCTCTAGAACTTATGCATGTTGTATGTAGCCACTAAGATCTTTTTTTTTTTAAAGATTTTATTGGGGAATTAGGGGAGGGGAACAGTGCTGGGGAATTGGGGGAGGGGAACAGACAAGTTGCTGTCCTTTTGTTCTTCAGTCTAGTTGTGGAGGACGTGGCTTCACTGGCCCATGTTGGTATTATCATTGCGCTCTTCCTGGGTGAGGCAGATTGGTCGCCGGCCTCTGGTCGGCCGCTCACACTGGCTGCCAGCCACTCATGGTAGCTCACCGCAGCCCACTGCAGCAGGAGCTGCAGCCTACGCCATCGCCAGTGACTCACGGCAGCCCAGCTCCAGGTTGAGCTGTTGTTCACCATCTTAGCTGTAGAGGGCAGTGTCACTGGCCCTCATGTGGGATCCGAACCCGGGTCCTGCTGCTCAGAGCTGGCATCCCAAGCTAGGCTGTTAACCAATGCGCCACTCGGCTGGCCTGCCACTAAGATCTTTTAATGTGGCTGACATTTTGGCTTGGGCACCATGAAAATGAATAACTTAGACGTTCCTAAACATTCTGAACTAGTCTTTCCTGGCTACTGGCCAGGCCACTGGGAAAGCACAAGGCATACTGGTTCAAGGTACACTGAGAAACACCAGACTGCTGGATGGAGCCAACTCAGGATGATGTGGGGGAACAGGTATGTGAGAATACTGTTCTGCTGGGTGTTCATGCACAGGTTCTAACCGATACAGAAATGAGCCTCTTTTATTGATTTAGAACGAAAACAACAGCAAATTTTTTCTAAACAAAAAGCATATGAATGTTTATAAAACACCGAAATCCCACCAGCATAGAACCAACAATCATTGCATCTAAACTTGAAAGCAGCATCGGCAGAAACCAGCAGACAACATGGGAGCTACTGTGCATTGGAAGCCCCTATAATGACTGGCATCAGCTTCTCAGACACTTGTAATTTATTTTTGCTGGGGGGAGGGTGTGGATTCTCCAACCAAAGCCCATAAGGCCAGCATCTAACCCCCGCTGAGGTCAAGTTAAATGTAGGGCCAGCAGATCTTCCTGGCATGTGAGGTAGGAACAGCATTGGATTTCCCAAACAACCACACCCACAACTGTAGTCACATTTCTTAACACTCCTCAGGATGCCCAGGGTTTTAAACAATGGAAAAACACACCAACCACGCCTCCAAATCACGACTTTGCTCGCGCTGGACTGCTTTGCAGTCCCTTCCTGTCCAGCCCTGCCAGTGGTCCCGATTGTGATAACCTCGCCTTGCAAAACCGCAAACATAGTTCAAATAATCCCTCTGTCATCTTTGAAAAGAGAATACAAAGGCATTACCAGACTGAGAAGAAGCGCAGCTACGCAAGGTAGCTAAACCTTCTTTCCATTTAACAAGTGGCTTCCCCCAGAAACAACAATTGCTCATCTCAGAGCCCCCCCCACCAAATCGTCCTTGTTAAGGGTTTTATAATGTTGCTTCCAGACTCAGAGAAGGTCATCAGATGTTGGCTAGTTTTAGCAGATATGTTATCTCGATTATGGAACGGGTCACTACTGACTTAACATTTGTGAATCAATGCTAATAAATTATTTGGGTGTTATTGGAATTTTTTCCAGATGCATAAAAACAGCTGTACTGTCATATGAAAATTGGGCTGAATTAAGAAAATGGAAAATGAACATCTTAGTTCCATCTTCAAATAGTGAAGGTCTGAAAAATTAGGTCCTAAAATACAAGAAGGAATGAGATGGGATGGAGGTGTCATCTGGTTCTCTTTCACTTCCAGTGTTGATACATACAAAACAACTTCACAGGCCCCTTGGGTTCTCGACTCTTTAGCAGCAAGATCCTCCCATAACATCCGTTTCCCTGGGCTCTCTGTGGGTCATGATGAAAGCTGTCAGGAGAAAACCTCAGAAGACCCACCCTCGACTAGGACCCACAGGCTGGACCCCATCCATCTTCGTGACCACTTCACACATGCCTTAAAGTGTCATAATCTATCACAGCCCCAACTCGCAAGGTGAAGGTCACATACACCACCGATGTGTCTGAAAAATAAAATCCTTTGCAGCCCGAAGTAATAGAAATACTTCTCTCCCTTTTTAATGGCCTTCATATTAATATGCCCCGGCCCCTGGGCCACAGGGCAGAGCTTTCACTTGGGTCAGGAGGTTGTGGAACTCTCCCACGGCCTGTGAGTGTGCCATGGGGTTCAGTACCAGGTGTTGGAAGAGGTTGACAGGCGTGGCATTCCGAAACGTCTTAGGGATCGGGATGGTCAGGGGCAGGAAGCTGTTACCAATGAGGAAATGATGGAGGGACCTTTGCTGGAGGCCATGGCCCAAGAACCAGAGGATATCCTGGAGCCGCTGGGAGAGCATGTCATGCTGCCAGTCTGTGAGGGGCAGCCGCAGCAGCAGGTGCATGAGGGCTGTTTTGAAGTGGTAAGAGGTGAGGATGGGATGGGATGCTCCCTGGGGTAAGCTCCGGAGGTCCCGAACACTTAAAATGATCTGGAGACACTTAAGGTGACAGCTGTTTTCTGGAGCGAAACGCCCTACCAGCTTCAGAAACAAGTGCTCACAGGCTGCAAAGGACTCGGGCCAGTCCACACTGGTGAGCTGCTCCTGGTCAGGGGCCTGACTCACCAGGTAGACCAAGGTGTCTTCCCGTTGCACCCCCAGGACCAAGCGGATTAAGAGGAAGCGACCTGAGCGGTAGTCCAGCCGGAGCTCGCAGGAGGTGGTGGACGGTGGGAGGCTGAGCTGAAAATCATACTTGTGGGCCACGAGGGCCCAGGCATTGCCTACCATGTTCCGGAACCACTGTATAGCCTTGCACACATCCAGGTGCGAGCCAGTGCAGAGGGCTGCCTTGATTGAGCTGTTGCACTTGCCCAAGAGGGCCGAGTGATCCCTGTGGTGGTGCACCAGACACAGCACATCCCCCAGAAGCTTCTCGCGCTTGCACACGCATTCCGACTCCACCAACACACTACCACAGCGGCTGCCTAGGGCCGGGTCCCTCATCTCTAGCACAAACATCGCGCCCCGGGGCGGGACAATGGGCACCAGGATATCAAATTTCTGGGTCTCATGGAGGGTTCCCCATTTCTCAAAGGCAGCCCCGATGCCCAGGCAGTCCTCCAGCTGTGGGTGAGCCTCCCGGCGGCTGAGCACCCGGCAGGCCTCAAGGAGGTCATCCACAAAGCTCTCCACGAACTCACAGGTGCAGGGCAGGTCACGGATGGCATTCTGGATGTCACATTTGTAGAAGGAGTCCAGTGCCTCCTGCGAAGGGAAGTCAGTAAGCCAGTTGTAGGAGGTGACAGGCACCATCTGGACTTCCTCCTCTTCCTCCTCACTGCTGGAATCAAAGGCCGGCTCATGCTGCATGTTCTGTCGCAGGAGCTCGAAGATGAGAAAAACACAAAAGAGGCCAGCATTCCACAGGTTTCCCAGCAGCCAGCCCAGCGGCCCCTCCTGGCCCTCTGCCTGGAACGGCCACCCCATGTCCTTCCTCCCCAGCACTAACTGGTCGCTGGACGCATCTCCTCTCCACAGGTTCTCTGCCTTCTGTTTCTGCTCAGATGCTCGCTTTCGCTGTTCAAACTCTATCTCTAACTGGCGCATCTCCTCGCTCATCCGCTTCTCCAGCTGCCGACTTCTGGCTAGCGTGTCCAGGTCCATCCGGTCACTGACCATCAAGGGGTGGTGAACAACATACATCACTGCCAAGAACAGAAGGCTTATCACAGCCATGGAGGCCTCTGCATCTGGAGAAGCAGGGGGTGGGAGTCAGTGGTGATCTTTGGGACTCATGTACTCTCCACTGCATATTCCCCAGAGCCCTGGAACCCCAAATCCAGGAAGTCAACTACTCAGGATGAACAGAAAGCTCAAAGAGCTGGGGTTGGACAGAGAGAGCCAGGGTGGTCTGCCCGGGAGAAGGTCTGGGAGAAAAGGGGGAAGCAGGATATGCCACTCAGTCTTTCTACTGCTTTCCTTCCACATGGTTGAGTGGACATGGGACTGATTTGATTCCTATGTAGGATGGAGAGGGGAGCCGTTGTGGTCGGGTGGCCTCACCCAACTCATTAGTCCACGCTGGGCACCAGGTGTGCCCTGCTGATCCCAGAGGCTCCGTTCCACAGGTTTGCCTGAGCCAATACCTTCCTTCTTGCCAGGCAGTCAGCCCTGGGCCCCACCTGTAGCATCCCACTCAGTCTGTGACTTCACAATTCTCATTCTGCTCACCCAGTGTCATCAGACTACTCAGCCTCTCCTCCTCCCTCCTGCCCAGTGAGCCAACCCCATGAACACCAGGGAAGCACAGTGCCCCAGCCATCTCTCCACTGCTTGCAGCTGTGCTCCCTGAGGGTTCTAAAGGGGCTGCCAGATGCCCCATCCATGGGTGGGGCCCCTGGGCAGGCACACCTGCACCTCTCAGCCCAGGAAACTTGTGAAGTCCAAGGCCACCTGACAGCCGGCAGTAATCTGTTCCTCTGCCTCCCCATCCACCACAAGGCTCTGAAGCTTCCTGCATTCACCCCACTAGTTCACAAGCTGCTGGGCTTACCGAGATCATGAAGGACTAAGCCGAGTAGGTGCTGACGCCAGGCGGGGGCCTCTCCTCCCTTTGGAACTTGGCCTTGCTCAGGCTCACTGGAGAGCTGTTAAAATGTACAAGGTACTGGGGGCTTTGGCTCAAAGCAGGGTGTCCCCTCATTCATAACTTCCCCAAATACCACGCCCAGAAATCTGAAGTCTCATCCGCCCATCCTCTCCCGGGTTTTCACTGTACCTGGGGCCGGGTTCCTCACCTTCTGTGTCAGCAGGAACACGGTCTTAAAGAGACAGCACGGTCTGACCGCCCCCGCCTGCTTCCCGACGGCGTGGGGACTCCGGGTTCCTCGCCGGGTCCGCCCGCGGGAGTGATCCCGGTCCCGTCGCCCGGGGAGCACACCATGTCACCATGTCTGTCCGAGTGTCCGGTCGTCTGTGCGCGGCCTGCGGCTGAGACCCCACCGTGCCGTGCGCGGTTCCGAGGGCGCCAGCCGCGCACAGCAACTCCCGCCGTCTAAGCCCCGCCCAGCACCGCCCAGCCCCACCCTGGCCGCCAAGCTCGCTGCGGGAGCCCGCCCTGGGGCTGCTGTGACCCTCGTGGCGCACGCGCGCCCTCTGTCCCGGCCCGGCTCCCAGGCGAGTGTGTGCTGAGCGCGGGGACTGCAGCCCCAAATTCGCAGCTGAGGGGCGCTCACGCCATAGCTGCTCGGTCCCCCCATGGTGGCGCCAGGGGCCACTACTGTGCCGGCGTCAGCTTACTGAGCTCCGTTCCATAGAGAATATACGTACTGGGCTTTTAGGTGTGAAGGTGATGGTGGCATAACCAAAAATTGACTGGGGAAACGTCATTCCCACTTTGGGCTGGCCCTGAGCAACAAGATACAGGAGATGGGGTGTGTTGTCGGCATCCTTAATGCGTGTCAATCCCAGCCCGCTCCAGACTCTTGGCGGCTTTCCCCAACCCCTGCTCCTATCAAAGTGGCTCTCAGGAAAGGATCACACAGCACCCAAAGTCCTAGCTTGAGGCCTGGCTCACCACTCACTAGCCATGTAGGAATAAGAATCCTAAACTTAGGTAGCTCTGCTGATGAAGGGAGGTGTAGAAGAGAGAATTTTATATATAAAGTGTGGAGGTGGGACAAGCCTTAAAATACATTAAGAAATACCAGCAGAATGGGGTTCCTGAAAAGGATCTTGAGTATCAGGAAGAATCCCCAGCCTTCTGTCCTGCGTCAGCCTTCCAAGGAGAAAAGGAAATGTTGATCTCTTGACTGATGCTTACTAAAGTCCTCCCGCTGACAGAAGTTTCAGGCCTCCTTATCAGGTGGCAATGGACCTTACTTCTAAAACCATTGGCTTAATCAGAGTGGGAAAGTCTATGTTCTGGGTGACAGTGACTAAGTTCCAAAGTTTCCCTTTATAAACTTTCCATGACAAAGAATAGACCACAGGCTGTTACCAAGCATCAGTGCATTCAAGCAGTGATGATGAAATTATTTTTAAATTTACGACATGACAATGTCAGGATGAAAACACATTTCAGAGCGTGCAAACCAGTGATGTGTAAAGCCATTTGTTTAAAGATGTGTGTTCACAGTCAAGTAAGGGTTTGTTTCAAAAGTGACTGTCATGTTAGAAGACATTTATTAATTCACGGTCTGCACAGAAATGAATGGGTTGTGATACAGCATTAGAGACCCCAAGCTACAGAACTATCCATTTAAAGATCACACTTCAATCACAAAAAGTCCTCATAGTGGACATTTGTTAGCCTAGTTTTTTGGTGATTTTTCTTCTTCATCATGATGTGATTGTTGGCTTAGTCAATGGAATTAATAGGAAATCAAGTCATTGGAATGCCTTGTCACGTTAATTGGTGATAGTACACAAATGACACGTGAGTAAACTGTAGCAGTGGTCACTTGTTTTAACAATTGGACTCCACTGTGGTGGGACTTACCCTTGTCTAGCAAGGAAACATGGTAGTTTTTTCCTCAAAACAAATTTATTTTTATCATTAAAAAGTACAATATAGGCTAGGGCCGGCCGAGTGGCTCAGTTGGTTAAGAGCTCGCTCAAGAGTTTGAGCTCTGAGCAACAGCGGTTCGAGTCCAGCCCGAGCTGAGCAG